GCCACTTTCCCTATGGAACAAAACTTATCTCTTAGCAAATCAGAGGGAGAATATGTCAGTGATTCATCATCATTCCGAAGACTAGTTGGGAGATTAATCTACTTGACTATCACACGTCCTTACTTAACATATGCAGTTTATGTCTTAAGTTAATTTATGGACAAACCACGAGTGTCACACTTAGAAGCAGCCCATCGCATTCTATGTTACATAAAACAAACAACATGACAAGGAATTTTCCTCTTAGCAGAAAGCTCAACCCAACTAAATGTCTTTTGTGATGCAGATTGGGCTAGATGTCGTGACACTCGAAGATCAGTTACTGGGTATTGTATCTTCCTTGGGAGTTCATTAATTTCTTGGAAAACCAAGAAACAGACCACAGAATCACGCTCTAGTGCAAAAGCTGAATATCGATCCATGGCCACTATCTGCCGCGAGATTATTTGGCTAAGAACAATTCTGCAAGATTTGAGGATCATGCATTTACATCCTGCCAATTTATTTTGTGATAACCAAGCAGCACTTCACATTGCCTCGAACCCGGTATACCATGAGCGAACAAAGCACATAGAGATTGATTGTCATCTCATACGGGAGAAAGTTCAAAAAAGAATAATAAAATTGACTCATGTGTCTACTTTAGAACAACCAGCGGACATTTTCACAAAATCACTAAACTCTTCTCAGTTCTCAATACTACTCAGCAAGTTATGAATTATTAACATACATTTAAAATTTAAGGGGGGTGTTAGGAGTTATAATAGAGAATAATTTCCTTAGAATTAGAGTTATGATAGGAAATAATTTATTCCTGTAAATAAATTATTTCCTTAGAATTAATGAGATATTTGTTTTCCTATTTTACGTTATTTCTTATATCTCCTAATAATTAATATGAATTAATTATTAAAGATATCAGACGTTATACTCTTCCTTTCATATCATTTCCTTTTATTATTTTTCCTATTACAAGATTCTTGTAAGGGTTATTTATAACCCCGTTCAAATCAATGAAATATTGAGTATTCCACCACATTATTCTGAGTTTTAACAGCAGTCATAATTCTACAAACATTCTCCTCTTTCTTTCAACTATTTTTCTTCAAATTTTATGGCACAAGGCCATGCAAACAGACAAACATTAATGAAATTCCATTGCTATAACTTTTCTCTATAGTAAAGTCAATTGTGCCTTTTTCCTATATATGTTCATCAATAAGACTTGGAGTTATATTTGTATTAGTTTATCACTTTGTATTTTGCATAGTTGTATGCATATTATATAATGATTTTGATGTAATTAATTAAATATATCTACAATCATTGAGTGATTATTCAATTGCTTGAATTTTGCTAATTTAGTGCAATTATTCAAGTAGATCAATGATTTTGAGATTGAGGCAATTCTAACGCATGCATCGATCCGACCTATGGTTTATATAAATTTTAATTTTAAGGTGTATGTGGCTTAGTTTTAGACTTCGTGTTTTTAAAAAATATCTTTGAAATAACCAAATATATTGGATACTTTTCAAAAGCTCTACTCCCAAACACTCGAAAGAAGAGCTCATAAGTGAGAGAAAGATCATTAAAACATTGAAGAATATTTGGTTTAGTCCCATATCAAATATTTTATAATTATGTTTCTAAAGGAATCCAAAGTACTTGTCCCTCGTCATGGGCTAGAGCTTTATAGTTAAAAATAGGTTTGACCATTAACATAAAGCCCGAGTTTGGTTTCCTTTGGTACATGATTCCTAGCAACATATTTGTGCAGTTACAAACATCACAAAAGCTATATAAAGCAAATAAAAAAAGAAAGTAAAATAATTGCATCAAATAAAAAAAGAAGTTATATATAATTATGAGTAAGAAGTATAGCTTGTACTCCTTTTAAAATAAGGGTTTGATTGCTTAATATACAACGTTTTCATATCGGACATTGAATCGGATGAAGGAGAGGTCCAAAGTTTAGTGGTTCAACTGAGATTAAATTGATGATTAAACTTAAAAATGTAATCAATATTAAATTTATTGTAATTTGATTTAAATAATACAATAACGATACAAATAATTATATAATCACAAATTTAACATAAAATACTCTAATTCAAGGCACTTCACTCTTGAATATTTTGAATGTGATTCTAAATCAAAATTTCAAAACATAATATTTAATATTTTTATATTTTATCTAAATTTGTGTCTAGCCATTCGATCAAAATCAAGAAGCCAAAAGCTAATCAATGTTAAAATCCTAAGGATCATCACAAATCAAATCAATCCACCAATCTACCATCATTTCTATGCAAAAAAGATTTTAAGCTTGGACCGAACAAGCTCCAAACCAGTGCGAGGCTGAACCAACCGGACCAACCAACCAAATCAGTTTTTAAATCCCTGTTAATATATGTACTAGTATTCATGCTCCTAAAAAAATCAAAACTATCATAATTGGAAGTAGAATAATATTTTCTCTTGAGAAGTTATTGGTTCTTAGTCGTATATTTAAACAAAGAGCTTAAAAAAAGGATGATTTACACACATACGACTCAAATCTTATATATTTACATATCCAACACCTACACTTCAATTTTTGCATATATGCCATTTTACCTAAGCATAAAATGTAGTATTTCACTTTTTAAAAGTTAAAATAATCGTATTTTTGATGTGATATGAAATATTTGAGGTGTATAAAGGAAAAAAAAGTAAAGTTTTGGTATCAAACATGTAAATACATTAGAATTGGGTGGTATTTATATAAATGACCAAAAAAAAGTTAACCACAAGGAAAAATTTCAGACGGCAAGAGATGCTAACCCATAACCGGCAGCTTGCTTGGTAAAATAATGAGCCACCATAAAGTAGGGTATGATCCACTAATGCTTCGTGATGGCCAAGTTTCTTGGAGGAGTAAAGATGGCAGGCTAGGATTTGCTTTCGGGATTCCTGCAATGAAAACTAAGTCAACTCATAGAAATTTTCCTTAATATATCAAAAAGAACCGGCTCAAATTAATGAATTACACCTCCAGGGGATGTTTAGAACAAAACGAAATTGTGGCAGAAGGAAAATGTTAAGCAAAGTCTTGCTTCCATCGTGTGCAACAAGATTATAAAAATGACCATATGTAGGAAGCACCGGTGAAACTCAGGAGAATATTTCTATATTTGAAAACGAGATAAACATGGAGTAGACCAATAAGAATTTGATCAAGGATTTTTGCAAAACATTTTAGGGAAATTTACATAGCACATAATTCTTTGGTATTTATGTATCTAACAACATAACTTTAATTTACATACATGCCACCTTAAATATTCATGAAAAAGATGTATTTCACTTTTAAAGGTTAAAACAGTATTATTTTTATGTGATGCGAAGGAAGTGGGTGGTATAAATGTAAAAAAGTAAAGTTTAGCTGTCAGATATATAAATACATAGGAATTAGGTGTATGTAAATGCCCCAACACTTTATTACATTAAACTAGACAGCAAATGCAATTTCAAAAGAATAAACTATAAGAAAGATTAATAAATCAAACTATAATGTGATAAAATGATGATAAGCTCCCAAGCATACCAGGAAACACAACTTGGTTTTGACTTTAGAGAATGAATAACACTATAATTTAAACTCAAATATTTTAAGCTATTATCAAATTTATAAGCAGGAAAGTTTCTATCTCGTTGAAAATGGCAACACAGAGTTATAAGGCTTTATTGAAAAAAAAAGATTGCATACATATTACTCAATTCTTCCGTATTTATATATCAAACACCTAAACTTCAATTTGCATACATATCACATTCCCTATGCATGAAAAGGTGAACTTTACTTTTTCAAACTTAAAATGATGGTATAAATGTATCAAAATTCATAAACGAACCTGGCTAGAACTACAACCTACACTCTTTAAATGTTTCAATAAGGGAAAAAAAAAAGATTTAAAGATCTCAAATGCAAGACATTTTTATAAAAATCAGAATAAAAGGAAACATTTTTATCTTCATTATCCTGAAAATTTTCATCACCAAAGCAGGCAAATATCATCTAATTGCGTCCAAACCAACAATTTTTCTTAATTGATTTTGTCAGTGAACGATGAAAACGTTTACAAAAGAGAGAAAATGATAAAAGTTCTTTTTTTTTTTTGTTGTCTTAGTAAGCCACCTGATAGCGTAATGGCATGAAAAGAATGGAACTTGTAACAGGTATTGCTCAAATTTACAAGTTGTGGGTTATTTGTATGGTCAACGTCGCTCTAAGTTAATGTTTTGGTGCCTAATCATCCGAGTTTTTGCATTCTAGAATATCCATGATGATAGAGAGAAAAAATATTTAGCTTTGTACAAAGATCCAACCCATATACATATAAAATAAGAGTTACAAGAGATACAGAAGTTCTTATATAAAAAATGTGAAAGAACGCGAAAATCACAAAAATAATTTCACCAGTGTGTGTCATCGATTATAATTGATATCATTCCCCATAATTGGGGAAGGTTTTCATAGAATATAATAGAGAGGAGACTAAAGACCAAAAAAGTCCACCATAAATATTAGTTTTAACGTCAGACGTCAAAGTTAATGTCGGCGACATATATTGCAGCGAGCTTGCATTATTGGTGGCTGCAAGCATTGTCATTGGTGTTGATGGCAAGTATTAACCTTATAAGTGATGGCATATGTTGACATCGTGCCTCAACCATATAGATTGCCGTGTGTATCGGTCTTATATGGTATGTTAGTAGGGAGATGGTTATTAGGAGACATCAATGAGGGGAGAAAATCAGAAATCAAAAGGTTTAGTGTAAATATTAGTTTTAATGTTGCGAGTTCGAGTTGTTGTTGACAACAGATACGGACCTTATTGGTGATGCCATACATCGGCACTGTGGGTGACAAAAGGCAATGAAGTCGATGGAAGTCAATGTTGGCATCAACCTTATTAGCAATGGAGTACATCTTATAAATGATACTGTGAGGTCAGTATACGTTGGTCATATATGCGATGGTGAACAAACATTTTCACACATACATACATATCTCAGTTGATGCTGATATATATATATATATATATCCTACCAATCCCTACACTAT